ATATATATATATAATTTAACTATATATATATATATATTAGTTAAATTGAAAAACTATGTTCCACATATATATTTTAAGCACATGCTATACTTAGAAAATCGATAAATCTGATCTGAACATTCTTTCTATCTTTTCATATATGTGTTTATACTTAATAAACGTCTCAAAATTAACAAAGCCAAATCTTACATAATGTAACACAACACAGTCCATGCAAATAAATATCCTGCATTTTTAGGAACACTTTTAACACAATTAATATTATTCATGCTGTTCAATTTCATTATTAATTTTTATTTATTTTATGTTAAAATTCCTTATATGTTATATGAAATAAAAGACATATTGCCCACAATTATTAAGTTATTATGAACCCTCGCAAAATACAATCGTCAATTTTCATCTTTCATTAATTCTTTCATCTTTCATTGCTTTGCATCATACTGGATAATATATTCGCTATGCTTTAAAAGTACTTGTGTTAATTTTTACCATATAGATTAATTTTAACTTCAATTTTACTTTTTATGTTTTTTTAGTTCTAAGAATCAGAAAAAATAAAATAAAAAGCAAATTAAACTGTGATTAAAGTTAATCTGTACTGGTAAAAAATGAAATCGTCATTCAAAAATATTAATATCTATTTGTGTATTAACTATAATACGCAATAAACAAAATAATACTTAACAAAATCAATTTAATACTCATGTGTTGCTTACATGTTTTGGCTCATTTTTAAGCCTGCATCAGAGCGTAGACGAAGAAGGTTGAGAACTCGTCGAACATAGATAAACGTTGAAGCTTAGTATGCATCGTTTGTTGCATACATCGACATAATAAAAAATTAGGAAAGTCAGTCTCCAAAATGCCATGCGAATATTATTTCCAGACGATTAAAAGACCGAGTGAACTAGAACTCCAGATATGTTATTGATAACATAACTGAATAGGGGAGGGGGATGACAAGAAATTATAATTCCAAACGTGATGAAAGTAACTCATCATTGGCATTGTAAGCGGCATAAAATAAATATAAACGTATAGAAACGTATAATCGCAAAGCGTCGTGATAAAAATGCAATCATTGAAAACAGCTTCCAAAGCTGTTTTGTTACAACTTATGTTGTAAAGAAATTCATTTGCACTCATTTAGATAGTTCTCACATTTTAATTTTGATGTGGCATTTTTTATCAACATTCCTATCGAGATTTAGCTATGTAAGTTATGTCAATAGGCCTTCATATCAAGAGACTGTTATTTATCTAAAGATGGTTTTATTTTTGTGGTCCAGTTCATCGTTGAATACTACCCGAAAATTACAGTATCGCCTATGTCAACAGTACCTGGATAATATTTGTCAAGATCAAAGTTATTGGAGATTGTTCCTCTTATTTTCATTTTTATGTAAAAATTCTTAGTGCATCTTGAGTACGATGCTGTAACTTTCAAATTCGATAACTCAATAAATACTGATTTAAAAAACTCTATTAGGGCCGGTTGTTCCACCTTTTTGGTAAATTTTATCTGTTGGATAAGTAACAAGATTACCCAATCACATACGCGAAATGCCAGATTTACCTAACAGGTAAAATTTACCAAAAGGTGGAACAACCAGCCCTTAAAATTTTTGGAAAGCTCACGAGGTCAGCTATTAGATTCTGGAATAAAAAATAGGTGTTTCGTAAAAAAAAATCGATGTGTTCTTGATCTGAAGCCATTCAAAGTCAAATGTGATCAGTAAATAGATCTTTTTAAACCCTGTAACTTTTGTTTCAATCATTTTTCTAAAAAATTTTGTTTTCGAGATATTTCACCGGTTCGGGACTTTTTACTTACTCTGTATGTATATGTGTATTATATGTATATATATAAAATTTTTATATCACAATCATTGATGCTATATATACGTACCTCACAACCATACCACTCACCTTATCTCTCTAATGAAATCTCTCTGTTCGTAGGAAGTAAATTCTCTTTTGATCCGAGTCTCGATGAAGGCGCATCTCCCAACGGCTCTCGTCGGTCGTTAGCCGAGACGTCGGTGACGTCGACGGCCGATTTATCGGTATTCAGCTCGGTAACACGTTCCCAGGTCCTGGACAACAGTCTGGATACCCAGAGCAATATCTCAAATGGGAGCTCGGGCAGTGGCGGTCTGCCCACACCGCGGGCGACGCCACATCAGCCCAGCCCAGACGTAGTGCGAATTTACGTACCATACACGTCGCCTACGTACACATCGTCGGCGGTGGCTTCTTACAAGGATGATTTACCGCGCACACTGCCCCGTTCCCTGGACACCAACAAGATTCGCATTCGCATTGATCCGGACCAGACGCCTATCGTTGAAAATCTAAAGCCATTCACACTCGAGAGTCCAGAAGTCGAGCTAGATTTGAAGTGAGTCGTTTGAACTACACACGAACGTGAAATCATAAATGGCCATGATGTGCATACAATAGTTTGGTCCTGAAAGTCGCGCATTTTTTGTCAAGAGCGAGGGCAATAAATTAAAAAATATTTGAGATATTTTTTTTTTAAGTGGTCGATCGAATATTGGATATTAATGCCGCCAAATATGATTAATGTCATTCTAATAACTAATTCTTAACATGTATTCAATGTATCTTCTTTTGTCTCTCTTGGGAAATAAAATAGCTAATTTAAGTTTCCCATGTCAAATATATGTCGAAGACTTAATATTGAACAAAAAACTGCTTAAATCTCGAAATATGATTCTAAACATTCTTAAAAATAATGCGCGACTTCTGGCATACCCTGTGTATGTTCTGCGATAAATCGCGCGTACATAACAGAAGAAATAATGACAAATACGAAAACTGTTGCGTTAAATCTTAAAGAATCCCTTTATAGAAAACGTCAATTGATGAATTAAGATTTAGAAGTGAGAAAAAAATTATACAGTGTACCGTTTCTAGAATGTAATCTTAAATACTTATTAACTAAATGATATAATCTTTGATATCCGTTATTCTTATAAATTAAATTTTAATTTAAAAAAGAAGTTGTAAAGTTATAAGAATTAATTGTATCTCAATTTTAGAGAAAATCTATAAAAATCGACAATTACAACTTACAAAGGTTCAAAGAAATTGAAAATCTTAAATGTTTCAATTTAAAAGATGTTAAAAGCGAAATGGACTTTATAATATTTCAATTTATGAACATTGAAATGAACGAAGTATTGTTGCTGCATTTGGCCTAATTTAGTTTCATGACATATGCATTGTACGCCACATAGTATTTTTCCAGACACAGCAGGAATAAACGAAGCAATGCATTCCTGATATTGATGCTTATGATAGGATTACGACAAAATAGAAAAAAGGATGCAATTTTGTCTCTTCACACAACATTACAATTTTAAGTGAAATAATAAGGCAAATGAGAAAATATTTATGTATATATCAGTCTTTTCACATCAGATTATAAATTCGTAATAAAATAAAATTTAATAATTTTTAGAATTGTGAAACAGTATTTCATTCCAATGTTAATGTATTTCGAATACAATTATACTCATATATTTAAATTAATTTGAGAACAACGAATACACTTGTGCAAAAATATACTATCATTAGTCTGCACACAATCAAATACATCTTCGTGGAATTTCTCTCAATATTATTAATGATGGCTTAGCTTGCTCTATCTTATCAAACAATTTGCATGAAAAAAGAATTATTTTCTATTCTATCGTAGTCCTATTATTTGTTGATATATTATTATTCTAGAGGAAGATAGATAATGCTACGTCTATTCATATTATGTCCGTAGGTCTCCTATATTTGTCACGCAGTCTTATTTGCAGTTATTTCGTTTTGATTTCTGAAAGAAAAAAGAACACTATATATTACAATATATTGAATTGCTATTAAGAATTAAAACGGATTCTGCTGTATATAAAATAAAGATGTATCTAGAGGCAAATTCATTTTTTTACAACTACTGTAAAGAATTGAGTTCTGTTAGATAGGCATCTATATACAATATATAATCGATAATATAAATTTCGATAAGCTCTAATATAACCGAATTTTGTAACGTAGCTATATAAGAAAATAGATTTGTCTCTGGATGTGAGTCCACTAAATATTTCCGATCAGCATCGTTTGTCACGTTTTGTTTACATTAAATTTACTACAGTAAAATTTCGTTGACGATTAATCTTACGGTGACTGTATGCTGGTAAACGAATTAGTAGAACAATGGTGGAGAAATGTATGATGTATACTATTTATTTATACGCTCACAAGCTAATTATATCTATTTGTCCTCAAGAGGAAAAACTACTCATACTATTAAGTATTATGCTGCCTTGGTAATATTGACATGTTTCTTTGTCAGTCTCTTTCTTATTTTTTCATTTTTTTTTTTGTAATTCGTATGTTGTAAGAAAAATATTTCTGTATATATAAATAATATTTAATGAGTGAGATGGAAAAAACGAAACAAGACTATATCAAAAAGCGAATGAAACTCCTCGGATGTAGTTATATTCAAACTCTTCGTCGTAGAATGTGAATACTGAACAGCTTCCGATTATTGTGCCGCACTGAAAGTATTTGTATTATTTGATTATGAGCCATCGCGTTTGGATGTGTGCACCTCGATTTCAATTTCGCCAACATTCCTGAAAGCGCGCGCAATATCCTCGATGTACATAACCTTGTGGATAAAGAGTCTGAATAAAAAAAAAGTTATCCCCATGCGTAAATGTGAATTCATCAAATAATTATTATATCTAATAATAGCGTAAAAAGCGATGTAGATTAAAAATAATATTAAATGTTGATCGTCCGAATCTTTATTACGTTAACACAAGAACAGGTTGATAGGATTAAAATCTTCTACCACAAGTTCCTCTGATTATTTTCGACGCGATTTATGACAATTATAACAATTATAACTTTTTGATTAGTTCAGCGAAAGAAAAGATTTCTCGATGCATGAGAACGAAACATTACATCTCAGATTTATTGAGATACGATCTTTGTACTTTGTTTGTTTTAGCTAGACTGTATAATAGAGACTAACTTTTATTGACATTATAAAATAATGCAATATATCTTACCAGGCTATGACATAAATAATGTAATTAAAGGGAAACAGAGATTTGTATGATCAAATTGAAGATAAAATTTGCAAAATTATTTCAAGAAAGGAATAAATGCATAATTTATTAAAAGGGAATAAATAACAATTCTTCGTTTATTACTATGTAAGTATTGTTTACTATATTTGATAAATGTTATTAGGCAGCAAGACTTTGACTATGGTCTTCATTTATTTATATTGTATTGAGACGTAGAAAATATTAATTTGTAGAATAAAACTAATTAAAAATATAAAAATTTTCTGTGTGTAAGCATATTGATAAACTTGAAAATTTCAAGTGCCTCATGTCTTACCACGATCCCGTGACCTCCAAGGAAATAATCTATTTTTATTAGTCTAATTTTCCTCAGGACACTGCTCTACAAGTTAAACCTAAAATAAATAAAAAATTAAAATAAATAATTATAAAATGGTAATAATGTAAACGCATAAAAACTTTAATTTTCACAATAAAAATTGACATTATTTACATTGTTACTATTTTGTAATCACATTTTCCTAATATCTTTTAAATTCAATCAGAGTAGTTTTCTGAGGAAAAGAAAAACTGCCAGAAAATAGTATACAGTGCTTCTTTAGAAGTCATACAATCATGGCAAAACTTGAAATTTCCAGGCATGTCTTCAATGGCGCACACAAAAAAATTTAAGTTTCCTAATCAATAAATCTTATTAAAATAAATTTTTTCTCTAAAAAAATTTGTTCTATCTCTCCCGTTGTTGGTGAATAATAACGAAACAAAAACGAAAAGTGAGTTTTGAAAAAGTCAATTTTCAAAGGTTGATTTTACCCTTTCAGAGTGAATTCAGGCAAAAAAAAATTACATGTCAGAATACTTTCTGTGTATTGCTAAAGTTTCATAATTTTCTGAAGTCCGAGTTGGGTCTTTCCTTGCAAGTCCAATTCTAAGAACTTCACGTTGTTTCTTCGTACAAACTATTAGTCTGTGGACTGCCATTTCATAAGTACAGCTTTTATATGAATCAAATGTTATAACGTGACAGCTCTAGTCTAGACAGCTCAGATAATCTGTGTATTGAACTATAAGAAATAGTAAAAAGATCTCAATTTAAAAATTTTGTATCATTTTCGATATAAACTCCACAGACATGTGTATATTTTAATCTTAAAAAAGAATTTTTGAATCTGTAAAAGAGGAAAAAAATAGTTGTTATACAAATGTTAAACTGATTAGTCGATAATACAGATGGCTTTAGGATTCCCTTAACTGTCGGGAATGTTTAAAAAATCGTATGGACCGTTACGCTGAATACCTTGTGCGTTTGTGCATGCATGTGTGTATATACATATGTAATAATTATAATACGACGAATGCAATATTCATCGAAATCTTACCAATTATCGAAGAGTAGAGAGGAGGCCACATTGTAAATCAATAATTAATTGTCGAAACAAAGTCTAATTGTCAATATAGCAAAAATATATATCTCACTTCTTCCAGCATCACTTTTTTTATTACACAACTCGATGTGTTTGTTGCAATTTATTTATTTTTATTTACAAGTATTGTATCGCATATGTGATCTGGAGATGTAGGATCGATCAAGGTGATTATGTAGGCGCAGATGTGTTATTTTTCTTAAAAATTAGATTAGAAATCATAACGCGCGCGCGCGTGTATGTGTGTATGTGTGTGTGTGTGTGTGTGTGTGTGTTGTGTGGTAAGAAACATCTATTAATTTCGTAGTCATTATAAATGCATATTGAGGATTTAATGAATGTTGACTTTCTCATTACAAAATGTTGCAATGACACTTAATTACGATTACCTTTGAACTACATCTCGATTGATCCTAACTGGATTTGTCTTCTTTTTTCTATTATTTTGTATATTTGATAATGAATTTTGATCTTACAAGAATGCACGCAAATTCTTGTACGATCTTTCTATATAAATTCGTTGAAACCAAATTTTCTCTTTTTCCTTTTCCTTTTTATACGGCTGTTATCTATACACTGTATAAATAAATCGTCAAATGTACACGATTGGTCGACACTTATTTGGTTTATAACAAACTTATTTGGCTTTCAAACAGATTAATCTAGCTTACTTTAAGACGCTCATTACGAACTAGGCTGGTAAAAGTTATTGTCCATAACTGGTATCAGCTTGCCATTCAGCAGCTTATGCGGTCCAGAATAGTAACGCCATAACAGACTGCTGCCTCTCTTCAGCTGATTATGAGTCGACAGATGAGTCCAACAATGCAGCCAGTTCTTATAGATCGGCATGTGTGGTGGAAGACCAGCTACCAACCTTGAACAATTTTCATGAACTTTACCATGAAATATCAGATGTTCTTAACTCGATCGGTCTCATTTTATTTTATGAAGGATAAAGTAATATCATGACATTTATCTTTTATAATTTCTAAACTACATTTATAATGTCTAACTTTTAGACTGCATTCTAAAACGTTCTCTCTAAGGAAAAATTTTACTCGAAACATATATATAGTACATGTAATGTAGTATATTATATCAAGTAAAATTTTCTTTGCAGAGGACATTTTGAAATGTAGCCTTAAAGTATAAAATTTTTTATTCAAACTTTTTAGTATAAAATTATTTTTAAAATATGAATTGTGCATACACACACACATACACGCGCACGCACGCACGCACGCACGCACGCACGCACGCACACACACATAAAACTTTTAATATTCCTAAAGCTAATTGTCAATTACTTTTAAGAAAATATATTTATAATAAGGTATAAAAAGAAAAAATTATATTAATCTTCAATGAACGTATTGGACATGAGATTTTACTTACCCGCAGTCATTTACTGCCATGCAGTGAGATACCACTAAGAACGGGTACATAACGGTTGTAGCTACAAACTGTACAAATATTTTATTTTAAACATGCTTAAACTTTACATATGAAATATTTAATGCGTTGGTTCTGAAACACGTTGTGTCAATAATACGTATCGGAGCACGTTCTCTTTGAAAAATATTGAAACTTACTTTCATAGTTGATGCAGTGTATGGCTTCATCGCCGGCTCTTGTATGACGTAATTGTTTATAGCGTATGTAGAGATACCAGTTAAAACTATAACTGCAGCGCTTCCTATTATACGCGGTATCAATCCTGCGTAATAACCTAGGATCCCATTCTCCTTGTAAATCTCCAGGAACGAACCAAATAGACTACTAATGGTAAGAATATGATAAATAAATTTTGTTGCAATGTGACAAACAAATCGCCCAGAGAAGAATACAAATTTAACAAATACAAATGCGATTATATACATACTTTGTTTCTTTATTTCATTTTATAAGTGCATATTATATATATATTGAATCAAATTTTAGTATTAATTACTGAAATTTTCGAAAAAATTTTCAATATTATCTCTCATTAATTATTTCTCTTCCTATATCATGTATATTTTGAAATTGAAAAGATTTATATATATACAATACACACATTCTTTCTTCTCTAGAAATCTATAAAGATATGCCATTTGTTATATATATTTATATATATTCATACCTATATTTTGTCTCTCTACCCACAAATTGTGCCATCATCCTTAATGAAATGACTTCCAAAGGATGACTAACTATGATCGCTACTGTTCTACTGATCACATCTCTGATGATCTCATTCATGCATCTTTTACGTCTACAAACAGAAGAAATTATTAATTCATTATTCATATTTTTCTCCCTTCTCTTAACACATACCTCACTGTCTCATCTCCATCGTCTTCATCCTCGTTCTGTTCCACTGAGTTCAACTGTAGATATTCTAAAGTCTTATCGCACGCTATTGTACTGACTGTATAAGAACATACCTTGGGTACTAAGCCTCTATAGCAGCCTGTAAAGCCATCCAAGCTATTTATGTGTTTAACTGCAAGAAATAACATTTTATGTTAAATAGAGTATATAATAAAACCATACAATTTAAAGTAGAAAAAGAGTTGCATCAGATATCCAGGCAGGATTATTGGGGGAGGGGGGGGGGGGATATCTAATTTCTGACAATATATTCAGCCTAAGCTTTATATTGAAATGACGTGTATAATAATGTTATCTAAAAATTTTTATTATCACTGATATATTTTAAAAATATTGTACTATATTTCTAAAAAATATATCAGTGATATTAAAAGTTTTTAAATATTTATATCATACATGTCATTTCAATATAAAGTTTTGGCCTGATTTATTGTCAGAAATAAGATATCTGATAATCCTTCCTGGATATCTAGTGCATGCATAGTGAGAAAGGTAAAACAATCTCCTGAAAAATATTTATTAAGTTTTAAATTAGAATTATACTTACTATATGTAAAAGCATTAGGTAGTTTCAATGCAGGCTTTCCAAAGAATGTTACAGTTGGTTTGGGTGGAATAGGCTCGTATCCGATCTATGTAATAAAACAAATATATGACTGTTTTTCTTTAGATAACAGTATTACATCAATGTATATCGTTTGTATCAAAATTCTTAACCAGCAGAGATATATCTTTACCTGGATCAAAACCTTAGCATATTCAATAGGATAGGAGATTGCATTTACTAAAATGCGACCGGCTATATCAGACCACAGGATCGCTGTGTCTTTCGAGGTATGCTTTGGAGGCATTCTTGGCAAATTTCTAGATTTTCTCTTTTCTAAAGGGAACATATATATTACATAAAATCAAGAAGTAGAAGTTTAGTCAGGAATTGTTATCTTATAAAAACGTACCAATTCTCATTATTTAAGGTTCACAAATTGATATCACAAATTTCTCTTCTCCTGGTTCCTACCTACTTCCTCACGAAACTCTGTGCGCTAGCAGAAAAGACAACTATTAACAGCACTTTTAAAGACAATTGGAACTAGCGTTATTCTTGTCTATTTTTTAGTACAAATCGAGTATCCCTTTCACCGGCATTACGGTGCTTGTTTCCCCGTGAACACTTCCTTCTGTTCCTTACACTCGTATGTAAGGTCAAGTTCAGCCGAACAAGCGTTCAGTAATCAATGTTAAGAATACACTATTCACTTCAAATCTTGATAAACATATACTCAATCGATGATGTTTTAGTGTAAAAATTAAGATTTGACAAGAAAAAGTGCTGTTCTGCTTCGTGAACTGAGATATTAATAAACGACTATTAAGGTTAAGAAATTTGTCACAGCCACAAAATATTATAATATAAACGTATAAACCATAGATGGCACAGACACAGAGATGTCAGATTCAATTACACATATCATTCATAACGGCCTATTCCTAGTAATTTTTCACTGTTTCACCAATGACATTGTACTACGTCTATCGCGTTTTATGTATTTTTTGCATTCAGCATCTTCGCTTTTTTCTCTTTTTAAATATATATCTATCTCATTTTAAGATCAAAAATTTTAAGGGATTTTAAATAACGCGAATGTAACGTATATTGTAGTATTTCTTTAGTTTTTCATTTCTTTACTTTCTTTTCAAGAATAGAGGCCCTGGATCCCTATTCTTATGCATGTAATATATTTTATTTGAAATCTGTTTTATCGACATCGATCGTTCGGCCGTCGTTTCAGCATTCCCTTAACCCCTAACCTCCAATTTCTAAGAACTAGTTAAGTATCCAGATCGAGTGAGGCCAACCGATGCGGCTTGTAATTTGTAAGAGAATCTCATTAAACTATTTTTCGGTTTATCTTGCTGCAGTCTGTCGCATTATTCTCACAGTTTTATCGAATTGAGTTTGCGCAAGTTTATTGTGACGAAAAAACATAGCTCGGATAGTTCCTCACCCTTTCTTAGTAGATTAGAATTTTTTTTTATGTCTGTTTCTACTAATGTAAATTAATTTAATTCACGAATTACAAAAAAGCCTATAAATAGCCATTACAATTATTCATGCGTAAATTTATTGTTTATTTGCAATAATTATTAGGCATTTTGTAGCAAGAACACAGTGTGATACTGAATTATTTTCTCCTTATTTAACATTGGCAAACAACAAGAATTTCATAACACTTGCAATGGCTGCGTTCAAAGAAAGCAACTTTTATGAAATTTTTTAGTGATTTATTTATACAATTAGATCAAGTGAGGAAGTAAGGTCAGCCATATTAAAGAATTTTATTTAAAAAATTGTGAAACTGCCTTATCTGCTAAACACAGCCTCTATGTCTGTTTCGTGACTGAACTAGTTCTACTTTTGGAACTTAAAATGAGATTAGATGTATGTTAAAAGAGAGATAGATATGTAAAAGTAAAAAGGATTTTTCTAGTACAGGACTTGATAATTAATGTCTTTGCTGAAAAATGCCTAATGCCTTATAATGTCTTTGCTGAAAAATGCCTTATAATGTCTTTGCTGAAAAATGCCTAATAATAATTTTAATATACATAGGAATAATCATTGTAGATTTTTCAACCTAGATTTGAGTTCTTGGATGATTTTAATCTTGGCTAATATATTTTTTATTTCTTTTTTAATTCTAAGAATTAGAAAAAGCTAAGTGTAAGTTAAATAAGTTAAAGTTAATCTACATTAGTATTTATTATTAGAATCCTGTAAATCTCCCTGTCTATTTGATTTTTACCTCTTGAATTTTCCAGTTTGATGGACTCTGCTATTTTCAAAACTGTCTGGATCTCGGTTAAGCGAAACTTTGTCAGCGTGTTATTTCCTACATTTACGGTGCTTACGATTTACGCGGATCTGAGGCATACGGCTCGCTGGAAGCGCCAACTTGTTGAACAGCAGGATAAGTGAGACTACGCTGAGACATGAGTCTACTTCAGAGTTTCTCATCGCATAAGCACATCTGGAAGATGTACTGGACTCTCATCTTTCCCTTCGCAGGTTTTATGATCGGTCATAAGATAGATAAGATGGAAACAGAGAGGATGACAACATTCAGGGACAAATCAGCATTGTACGGTAGAGAGTTAAAGCCTGGGGAGCCACCTTCCTGGCCATATTAGCTATCCTTATTGCACATCGTTCAAATCTTAAGAAATAGCAGAATCAATTAGTGCTTGTTAAGTTAATTAAAAAATAAATATATTTAAATGAAAATCACAGATATAGATGTTTCATTAATATACACGTGTAATCTAGATTAAATGACGAAAGAAAGAAAAGATATATATATATATGTGTGTGTGTGTGCGTGTAATCAGTTTTATTTATTGGTAACAATGCAATATAAGTAATAAATATATACAGGATTGCCATATTACGTATTTCTATTAGTCGATAATCACTAAGAGTACTATTTCATAATAAATAGTATACATATAAAATTATTTTGTCAACATAGCAAATCCGATATATACACGAACTTATAAATTACATTAAATTTACATTATATATTGAATAGAGATTATCACAAATATTCAGAGATGTTCATAAACACGAAACAATAAAACTTGCATTACATTAGATTAATGCTTATTAAAAACTGCTATATTTGAAGTTTATAATATAATTAAATGTTAAAAATATATAAATATTTTGAACAATGAAATGCTCAGTAATGATATTGTCATGTTATTTAATAAAATAAATGTTTTCTTTTATTGTCAAAGTTTAAATTACGCCATTGCATTTAGATATTTTATAATTACATGAACTAATTAAGGCTCAGAATTTCAAATGAAATTTGAAAAAGAAAAAAATCGTGATAAGACATATTGGTGCGTAAAAATTTGTTTACAATTTATTTTAATATATGCAACTAATAGATGTTAACTACTTTTTTTGGTCTTCTTCAGTACAATATAATAATAAATCGAAAAGTCAGAAGTACTAATGATAGTCAAGCGAATAAGAGATTACGCAAATAAGAAATGTGTAAGTAAAATTTCTATGCTATATATTATGAGATTAAGATCGTCGTCTTAAAACAGTCTTTAATATGTACTAATCCATTGTAGTGCGAGTGATCAAGTAATGCAAATGATCAATAATAACTATTATTATTCTCATTTTAATGTGTTATTGAATACCACTGAAGTGCTAACGAAATAGAGAGAATTTTTTCGACTTTTTCTTCGTTTTTTTCTTGATATAGGTATTGCACACGACGTTCTCCTTATTCTCAATCGATTGTTTGGTCGTTGGATTATACATCTGGTGCTTTTGCATCCATTTGTCCGTTTCGTTTGTCCAGGACACCGGCCTATCCTTAGAAGTGCTGGCTTGAACTTGACGAGATTGACTATATCTCTCGCCAGTTTCCAAATTAAGATAGGAAGACAGCTTACCTTTATTATTATGTTCTACCTTGCTTAGAATATTATCTGGAATATCATCTACGGGTCCGTAATTCTGAAACCTTGTCTCCTTCTCCTGCAAAGCGCATATGTTATCGCTGAACTTCCGAAAAATTTTCTCCTCTTCGATTATGTGCTCAGGTTTCTCCTCAGCTATTCCTTGTAGTTTTCCTAGGATATCTTTATGCCTGGTCCATCGCTCGCTTGCTGATTTTGTAAAGGCATATGGCTTCTTATGAAGCACTGGATTAAACAGCTCTGACGTTCGTATGTTAGATGTATCTGTGCTGGCGGCTGATAACGACGAATTTAGGTCGTCATAATTCATCCTAGGATATTTTTTGTACCTTATAGTAGCGTACGAATGAGTCTTCGAAGAAAAGGATTTTCTCGATGATGAATTTGGACGCATCAAATGCTTTTTCTTTTCCTCCTTTTTGTCGAATGGATTGATAATAGGTTGAAGATTTTGAGGAATTTCTGTTTTTCTCGGAATTTCTTCTTTTCTCGAAATCTCTTCTTTTTTCGGAATTTCTTCTTTTCTCAAAATAACTTCTTTTTTCGGAATCTCTTCTTTTTTTGGAATTTCTTCCTTTTTCGGAATATCTTCTTTCTTTGAAACATCATCTTTTCTCAGAATTTTCTCTTCTACAAGATTATTAGGTTTCTCAATATCGTATAAAATTTGTGCCGCTTGCTCCAGCGTCTTTTCCACTATCATATCTTTTTGGTATTTTATCTGCTGCTCTACCTGCTTCATTTTATCATTGAGAAGTCTCTCCGTGATCCTTAGTTCCTTCTCTTTTCTAAACAGCTCCCTCTCTCTTTTTTGCAAATTTATTTCCTTTTCCCGCAACATGGTTTCACGATTCCTTAGGATTTCAATTTTGTGCAACCAATTTTCTCTGAAGATCTCCTCGCTGACTTCTTCAGGTGACGGAATCGATGCGGTACAGCCATTCTTGTAACCGTGACGGCAGAAGTTGTTTAGCTTGGAGTCCAAGGAGTTCTCACTTCTCTCGTCAATCGACATCAAACTGTTCGTCCTGCTGAATTGTTTCGCAGGATACAATGACTCCTGTGGTCCAATTGATGCTTGAAACTCCGTTTTTTGTACACGTTCGTTAGAACGATAAAAATTCGCGTTGTTATAATATTTAATGATATCATTATCCAAATGTTCGTCGCGTAGAATGTCATTCTCGTTCGTTATGCCTTTCACGAATTTTATACCAATCAATGTGCTATCTTCAGTGAAAAACTTCGTGGTTTCTTCGTATTTCTTATTTGAAGTGAGCGACGTATCTTTCTCATTTTGCATACTGTTCTCGAATATGCTTTCGCTCTTGGTATCAAATTGATTTGTGATCTTGAGATCATCGATCCCATTAATTATTGGTAAATTCTCCATTCCAGGCATAATGTATGTCTCAACTTTGTACAAAATTGGTTTCTTCATGATTGATATTGCAATACGTTAATATCTTTCAAACTCTCAGAAGATTATGTCACATATGATGATTGATCATTTCTGCAAATAATAGATATTTACCTATTAAAAATATATATGCATATATATATATATATACATACACACAGGGTGACTCCCTGTAATTTGAGAGATCCGCTGAATGCTTATACTATTCATATGAACTATTAAAATTTTTATATCAAACAAATTTCAACTTCAAGTGATAGCTATACACAGTAAAAACATTTTGTATTTATGTTTTAAAATGAATTCTTGTTAAAATTTTTGTATTAAATTTTTAACATATCCGAGTTTTAAATTAACATAATGTGATTGTGTTATTTGAATATTTTGTGTTAAATTTAAATTTAACATTTCTCAGTATTAAAATGACACAATTTATAGGTAAATAAACAAATAACAAAAATAATGTAGTTTTAAAACATAAATTCTAAGAATAAATGAACAAAATGTGTGTGTTGATTTTAATATATTATAAATGTTAATTTTACTCTGAAGAAATATGTTTTGTACAACTTATATATTTTATATGTAAAAAGGTATAAATATTTTTTGTTTTCTCTTTATAACAGTAAATATTTAATAAATCTATATATAGCATATATGAAATATTACAAAGGCATTTCTTAAACTAAAAATGTGACAATAGCATCTAATTCAGTTAAATTTAACATTATAAATGTGTCAATTTAACATAAAATTTGTTTATAAATTGTACCAAAGTATTACGTTTCTTGTGTTAAGTTTTTACGTAACATTTGTGTTACTTTCTATTCATCTTACGTTAAATTAACACAAAATATTTTACTGTGTATAAGCCAAAAATAATTGAATTTTTTAGTTTTTCTTTCATTTTGTTGTGAAATCGATATATCCGGATTTTCTATTTATGTGTCTTTTAATTCTGTAACAAAATAATTTTGCAATCCGTAAAACCAATTTGAAAATTTCGGTTGCACTGTAATTCGTGAAAATTGACGCGTCGCTTTAACACATTCCCCTAACTTTTAGAATTCTTAGAAAAAACCTTGGCATTACAAAAGGACAGAATTAAAAACGAACGATAAAAGAAAAGATTACACATTTGTTTTTAAAAAATTTATGATTTTGTGTGTGGATTTAATATATAAATAAATACGATTTATTAAAATGTAATTGTTGTAACATACCAGAACTATCGTAATCCAAATGACTTCTAGAAGATGCATGTAGCGTGATGTCTGCATTTAAACTGAGCTTTCACTTATAACGTTCGAAGGGAAGTGGTGAGTTCACAGGTATACGGATTCGTATGTCTCCGTCGTGTATCTGCAACGTGATTTGCTGAGGCCGTTTTTAAATCCCAGCTATAATGCTGGACGGTACACTGGTATTCTACCTGCGTCTTCTACCTACAACATATGAAACGTGAGAATGTTCGTGTTCATGTGCGTTCCTTTATGGAGGGATACAAAAGAAAGGGATCATAACAAAAGCAATCAGTTAAACAATATAATAGAAAGATTTATGTTGCGTTTCAAAATATTGAAAGAGAGGCATTCGAAAATTCCGAACAATTGAAAGGAAAATTGAAATTTATAACAATTCTTGTTTATACAGAATGGTGAAGGAATTAACAATATAAGATCAAATAGAGCGATATATGTGTTATTTATCTTTTATTTATATAATTGGTCCGAAATTGATGATTTAAAAAAAAATGTTATTGAATAAAATAAAAACTAATTTTTTCTAAGATTTACATATTTATATTTTTATTCATATTTCTTTCAATCATTTAATAGTTTAATTTTTAAAAGTATATACTAAAATAGTAATGTTGAAATTCAATTTCTTTTTTGTATTCTTCCATGCAAAGTGTGTTTGAAAAAAATATTTTAATGATATGTTATTTATTTTTCATCGTATTCATGATTGAAATGTAAATATATCAATCTACTTTTTTTT